AGAGAGAGAGAGAGAGAGAGAGAGAGAGAGAGAGAGAGAGAGAGAGAGAGAGAGAGAGAGAGAGAGAGAGATTACCTGGCCGAGATTCGCCCAAACGATGGGCAGTTTCGAATCGATTTGAAGCGCTCGAATAAATGCATGTTGCCTGAGAAACTTTCGCCTCGCTACAACACCCAGAAGATTCCACAGCATCGCGTTTCCTCCATTTAGCCGTAAAGCTCCCAAGGCAAGTCGCTCTGCAAAACTACTGCTCCCCCAAAATTCCCCAACAACAACATCCCACAGGTCCCCGAGATATGGTAGACAATTAAGAAAAAAAAAATTCAAATAATCAGTATTAATCAGTATTAATCACAGAGCTCTTTTTCTAAAAGGGGGGCAATGGCATTGAGATATTATCATTGAGCTGACTGGCCCCACTGTCCCAGTAGTCCCAGGTAATTCCAAACTATTTCATTCTGTACAACTGATTGCATCTGGGTTCGAACTTGGGTCTGATTCATATTTCAACAGTTTGTGGGTGTACCGTAGAAGCACCCAAAGGAGAATTTGGTGTATATTCAGGCATAATAACCAATCAGGATGATAGTACCACTTGGGACAATCAGGGTGTTCTGTTGCGAATAAGGACATTTCAGAAATTAACGGTCAGGTGATAGTCCCACTTGGGACAATCAGGTTGTTAATCCCACTTGGGACAATCAGGCTGTTAATCCCACTACGGACAACTCGGCTGTTATGCTTACATTTATTCGGCTACACCATAGACGTTAATAGACAGCTCAGACTCGAGCTTTATCAAAATTTGTCGAGTTCATGGAGGCCAAGTCATTTCCTCAAGTGGGCGTGTGGAGATCACTTGGGACAGGACAAAACCAAGCTCCTGTGAGCTCCCTCCCTGGCTTACCCAGGAAAACAACACAAAGGGGAACAAAAAACGTAGAAAACAAAACACAGCGGACAAAAACAAACAAACAAACAAACATTTTTGGCCTTACCTGAGCCTCTCAATCTCCTCTTTCGGCGCTTTAGGCACCAGCTGAAGGCTTAATAGATGTGCATGCTGATAATATGCAAAAGCCAAATCTGCCCAAGCCCCCTCATTAGATGGGTGCTTGTGTAGGGCATGAGAATACGAGCGAATTGCCCGCAACCCTGCTTCCTTCTTCTCTTCCTCCATTTTTTTCAGTATGCCCACCGCTCCTTTACTTTCTTCAACAGCTTTGTCGTCTTCTGCACCTTTTTCATCCTTGGTGTCATCCTCGTACGGCACTACTCGCGCATATAAGATCTGACTCGTGCGGAGAGATTTAAAAAAAAAGCCAACAATTTTAATGACTAAAAATGATAAAATTATTAAACAATATGACAATACTACACAATAGACAGAGAAATCCACACCACTTGCAATAAAAATGGCCTGAGAGGCCGTCCTGTCCAGATTCGAGAGGTAATTGAATTGGTTGGGCTTATAGAATAAGCCTAATAAAACTTGAAAAGGGAAAAAAAAAACATACCAGTGTGGTTAAGAACTGAAAAAATTCAAAAAAATGAAATCTAACCAACGAGCCTAGCTCAAGGGCATATTCACACAAGCACTTGTCAAAATGCATCTGACTGCAATTGCGGCCAGACCTGGCTGCATCTGACCACAATCACGTCCATAAATAAGAAGTACTAGTGTGAGTATGCCCTCAGTCGGTACACCCAAGATCTGTGGAAATAGAGACCCGAGTTCGAGTCCGCATGATGATGGGATGAGAGTCATGAGACGAGTGAACAATATTTCTGAATTGCATGGGCCCGGTCAGGTCAATGACGATATCTCAAGGCCATCGCCACTTTTTTTTGAAAAAAAAAAAAAAGAAATCGAACTTATCGAAGTTTAAATTTAAAACAACGGGCCTAGCCCAAATGGTACACCGATGAACTTTTGAGACACAGACCTCAGTTCGAATCCTGAATAGAACGCACGGTCATTGTAGCAGTATTTGGGCCAACTTGCAGTCCAGATACAGTGATCATTAGAAATTAGTTCAAATTACCAACTGTATTATTCGGGTGAAATCAAAAAAAAAAAAACCACAAGTACATCACCCAGGCAAACTTGAGAATCTGTTTTTTTTTTTTTTCATCCTTGCACAGGGACAATGCAAATCTTCTCCATATCATTCCAATTTTAATGGATGTCCCAAAAGGACGTCCGCTAAATTGAGCCGGACATTCGCTGCATTGAGCCAATATCTGAACATTTCAGGTGAACGGTGCTATCGGACAAGAATCCCAAGTGGGACCAGCCAAAAAAGAGGAAAAAAAAAAGCCCCACGCTGGCATTTCAGCAAAGCTTAAGAGCGCAGGGGGAATCCACCTTGGCAGAAGGAGACTCGGATGTACTGGTGGTTTAAGCTATTGCTGCATACCACAGATATGAAGTGATTCTTTTAGTAGAACGCAGCGTCATTGTAGTGATATTTAGACCAACTTTCAGTCCAGAATCCAGATACAGCAATAATGACCACCTGGTGAAGACAGTAGCGGTTTTAGCTATTGTCGCATACCACATATTTGAAGAGCTTCTGCAGTTTGTCATTATAGCCGTATTTGGACCAACTTTCAGTCCAGATACAGTCAGACCTTTTCCGAGAACGGTAACTTTGGAGCTAAACTTTGCATCCACTCCCTTTTTGCAACAGTCTTCTTCCACTCTCCCTTCCTCTCTCCCAATTTTATCAACAGTAGGCCCCAAATTAGTCTCAACCAAATTAATCTCAACAACCAAATTAGTCTCAACCAAATTCTACTTTTCATTTTAAACCCTCCGAATTCGCCTTCCACTGCTTACAGAGGACTGGCTGGCTAGTCTTGGAGGCTTAAACCACCAGGACAGCCTGGCCTGGGAGGCGCTGCGCTGCGTGCCAAGGTTTTCTGAACCAAATTAGCTAATACAATTTCAGTAAGTCCTCCTATGGTAAACAAGAAGATGAATCCTACAGCAAATAACATAGGTGTTTTTAATTGTATTGAACCTCCCAACATAGTGGCGATCCAACTAAATATCTTGATTCCAGTTGGCACCGCTATAATCATGGTTGCTGCGGTGAAATAAGCTCGGATCAATTCAACCACTAGTTTCCTAATGGCATCGGTTTTCTGAACCGCCAGTGGCACAGTTTTTTTCCTTTTTTGCTGGTGCCGCCAGCCATTGTCGTCCTGTAGCGCCGAGCCGCAAAATTTTTGAAGGTGGCACCTCTCAATTTCTACAAGCCTGGGGCCACGTACCGGCGGTTTAAGGAACTTGAGGTTAACTTTAGTTCCACTTGCGGTTAACTTTAGTTCCACTTGCAGTTAACTTTAGTTCCACTTGCGGTTAACTTAAGTTCCACTTCAGGTTAATTTTAGTTCCACTTCAGGTTAATTTTAGTTCCACTTGAGGTTAACTTTAGTTCCACTTGAGGTTAACTTTAGTTCCACTTGAGGTTAACTTTAGTTCCACTTGAGGTTAACTATAGTTCCACTTGTTCCACTGTGGAGTAACTGAGCAATGGTGCTGAGCCATATCACCATGAGGTTTTCGGGCAAGCTGAAGACTTGGATGAGGTTCCCGGCAGAGAACGATGCCCTAAAACCTGGGCCATAGCCCATTTAGTGCGACTTCATGATTTACCTGTTTCTTCCGGCTTGATTGCTATTGATTGCCACACATGAAGAAACCTGAAAAAATGATGATTATTATTACTTATATTTACTCTGTGTAGCATCGTGTTCGCTTTAGGTGACCGAACCCGAACATTCGCGACCGAACGCAAACGAGCGTAAAAAACCTCGACACGCAAACCCAAAAAAAAAAAAAAAAAAAAAAAAAAACAGAAAAATCTGAAAAAAATATATGTAGCACACCGAACATGTTTGGGCCTTTTCCGGATATCCGGATTTAAAAATTTGGGTTGAGGCCATCTTTAATATCTCAACAGACATCAAGATAAAAAATAAAACAGAAAAAGAAGATAATATTTCGATAAAAAGTTCTAGAATGAATTAAGCATCCCCCCTCTAAACCCCTTTATTCCCTATCTTACCCCCTTTGAACCCTTCCATGCCCTATCAAGCTTTTCATGAAATAGGAAMTTAGTTCTATTGTATTTTGCATGCGGAATATCCCTTCTTTTTTTTTTCCTTTTTTTCTGCTTTTTCTGGCCTTTTTTTATCATCCAGATTTCCGGATGATCCTACCCCCAGATCATCCGGCCAGATAATCCCACCAGATTATCCAGCCAGATAACCCATGCTACCTAGCTTATTAAAGTTATTATTAAGACTTTTTTGACTTTCTTGAAGTCTTCTTAGTTTTGAGCTTTCTGAAAAAGTTTTGACAAATTTTGCCTTGCAGAGGACTGACTGGTATTATCTTGATTTAGGGTTTAGTTCCACTTTACCATTATATCGCCGTGTAGTTTTCTGGCCAACTGAAGAGTTGGATGAAGCTCCCTGCAGAGCACAATATGGGATTCTGCCTCCTGATTGGCAGAATCCATCCCAGAAAAAAGCAAGTTAAAAAAGAGAAAGAGAAGAACAATCACTGTGAGTCATGACAGGCAGTAGAAGAAAAAAATGTAAAAAAAAGAAGAAGACAAAAAAGAGGAAAGAGAACGACCCCTGCTTGCAAATGAAATTGTCCAATCCTGTGGTTTTGGGACGCTAAATGATTAGAATATAAAAGCCACATGGTCTTCGGGACACATCCGTTAAAACTGGAATGATACACAGAAGATTAATTGGCATGACCCCTGCGCAAGGACGGCACACAAAAAAACAAGAAACGGTCCCAAAAAAATAAAATTAAAAAAATCAACAACACATAGGAGATGACGATGAGAGTTCATTGAGAGGAAATAAAACATTAAAACTCTACTTGCAATGAACCCAGTCAGATGAGAAGCTCATGAGTGTCGAAACACAAGTCTGTCATAGCGCAGATTCAATGTCTCCAAAAATCGTTCGTGAAACCATGCTCGTCACACATGTAGTATCCCAATATCTACGACTCAGAGAGAAGAATGAGGAGAGAGGAAAGATAGACTTAGATGAGAGAGAGAGAGAGAGAGAGAGAGAGAGAGAGAGAGAGAGAGAGAGAGAGAGAGAGAGAGAGAGAGAGAGAGAGAGAGAGAGAGAAGCGAAACTCGTCACCGGCAATGACGAAGCAGAAAACCCTCACAAGCCCACTTTCACTTCGGGCTCCTACTCCCAACTCGCCACATCAGAAATCAGTTCCTCTCTGACGATCTGAGATAACAAGCAGGTCACATATGGGCGCCCATCCTCCTGCCACGTCAGCAGCAGCCTGGAAGAACGACGCAGATCTTCCTCCCGGAGACGATCAGCAAAGTACACGTGTCGACACAGGTTCGCACAGGTAAGCTTCTTCTTATCAATCAGATCCTCCTCCTCCTTACCCACACTCCATCAATGTCGGAATCAGTGTGGCTATGGCCACGTCAGCAACATTGCCCGCAAGGCTGGCGCCGTGTACAGGGAATGGCGCCAACATAATGCTGCCCGCAGTCTCGCATCGTCGCACTAGCATCTAGCCAGCGTCAAGCAGAATGCACAAGACTGAATATCTTCACCAGGGGGGCTGGGTCAACTTACAACGTTGACTCACGTTGACAAGCCTCTGGTCTTCTGGGTACGACGGACGGCCCAGATCAGTCGTCAGCCAATGGCCTGGATTGCGTACCGTTACAGATTTCCCTCGTCTCCTGCTTGGACCAGATTCTTCTGGATACCTGCCGACAACCAAAGATGCGTATCCGATCTACGGCCGAGGCTTGCCAACGGGTCGACTTTGACTCCTGGGCCTAAATTCCCGAGCTGGCGTTAACTGTTGACTTTCCCAGGGTCAACTGCCCCTCGTAGGGCCTCTGAAGGCCAGTTTTGGCCCTTGTCTTGAGTACCCCACAGCATCGTTGTTACATGCTGCGCCTATCTTGCACTACGTGGTGGAGGTCAGTCCCGATCAGGTCAGGATCTGTATCTAAGTCTTCCCCGCGCTATCAAGCACCATTTTGTATGTATCGGAATGCACATTGCTTGTTGAGATTCCACTTACACTGCATTTGTCCATTCAGTCCTTTTTATCACATTGCGGATCCTCGGTTTTACATGTACATCGCCCAACTGGGCATGTAACAGTCAGGCTTTCGTTCATGATGCAGATTTAACTTCGACCTTGTCTTGGGGGGTGACTTTTGACCCCTGTTTCGGGCCTTTAACCAAAAATGACGACCCTCAGCCCACGGCTGATGCAGATTTGAGCTGAGTTATTGCACTACTCTCCAATAAGGAAAAGAAAGAAAGAAAAAAAGAAAAAAACGAGAAAGCGACCTAGGCAAGCAATATTCAAAAAAAAAAAAAAAAAAAAAAGAGAACGTGCCATATCCAGCCATTAACTGAAAAAAAAAAGACAAAGAAAAACAGTGGTAAAGTTGGTCAACACATACTAAACATAGTTGCGGCGCACCAGTGCGCAGTGCGGTGCGGGGCGGTGCGCACTGCACTGTGCGCTGGAACGACAGCGCGCGCACTGTGCGCCGTGCGGTGTGCGCAGTACGCAGTGCTGTCTGCTGTGCGCGGTGCGCGCGCTGAGGGACTCGCGCACAGTGCTAAAAAAAAACAAAAAAAAAAGATAAGCCCCAAGAGAGAGAGAGAGAGAGAGAGAGAGAGAGAGAGAGAGAGAGAGAGAGAGAGAGAGAG